GTTCTTGACAGAGAGATTTTCCGCACACACTGAAATCCTAGTGCACCTCCCAAAGGGCTCCTGTGTACCTCTCCACACGCCGGCAGGCTGCTCCTTCCAGTTTTCCGGCCCCAGGCTCCAGCAACAGGAAGGAGTCTGCAGCTTGTGTTTGGCTAAGTAGCTGTCTTCACAGGTTGCAAATCCTCCTGCACGCTGTCAGCTCCCCTCTTTCTTTCTGCCACTAATGGTTAGCTCTGCAGCTCTGTTTCCTCAGGAATTGGAGGGGAATTTGAACAGCAGTTATAGCACAGTGCAAATTTTGCTAAGAAGTTCTCATAACTCACAAAGGAGCAAAATATTTTTGCTTTTAAGAACTCAAAATACACTTCTTCATAACTAAGAGAAAAATGGTGGTAAAACCTACTCTAGGGTTTGCCAGTGTCTATTGTAAGTAGAAAACACAATGTCCATATTTCTACTCTCAATTTAGATGGACAGGGACATTTTTGGTACTCTTTGTATTGTACATTAAAGTTGCAATGTCAACAGCATTAATTTTGCCTCTCAAGACCTAGACAGAGGAATAATTTCCCCATTTCTGGTTGCATCCAGTACTCAGCACATTACAAGAGTCCAAACAAACTGTGCAATGTGTCATAACACAGCAGGTCAAAACTAACGTGCATCTTAATGTGCAATTAAGTAATAAAGTTACTTTTGAGTTGCTCAGCAGTGACCTCCCCAGCCTACGCTGCATTGCTAGGCCATAAGCAGTATAGTCCACACACAGGTATTTCCATGGCAAGGCAGAAATCCCTGACATCCCTCTTCTGTACTGTGACCCACACTTAATCCTAATGCTCTGTAGCACAACAGACATACGTGACCTAAAAATTCTGATAAGACGCAAATAAATCTAGCTCTGGAAAGCAAGAAACTGTTATAATTTACTGTATTGATCTATAAATCTTCATTAATTACTACAGTGCACTGCTTAATTAGAAAACTCTACTTAATCAAGATGCTTCCCAAGGAATCAATTTATACCTAATGATACTTATGGCAAGGACGGCTGCTTAATTGGGATGGTAATTTCCTTTAATTGGAGCACTTTCAGACGACTTAGTGTTGCTTTGGCCTGCACGAGTTCACCTTTAGTTTGTTCCCCTTATGGTGCTTCGCAGGGCTCTCAGCCTGCTTTCCAGTGAGCTCCTGAACTCACGAGCCCAGCGCTCGTGACAAGAGGCTGCTGAAAATATTCAGCACATGCAGTACAGATTAACTTTTTTTTTTTCAGTTTATAGAAGCTTGAGAAAAAAAAAATTGAAAAATTCTTGAAAGTTTGTGTTGTGATGTTGAAATCTTAGAATGGGCAATTAAATGTTGCCCGTTAATAAAATGGACTTTTCTTTGGGCAAATTGCTGTAACTCAAATAAATCTGTTTGTTCCGAATCCACTATCTCAGATCAAATACCTAGTATTCAACATTTAGAACATAAATAGCATTGTTAGTGTATGTAGCCTGCTGGGATAGAGGATGATCTACTACCTTATTAAAGTTAGACCTGTGAGAAGAGAAAGCCCGTGCTTCTCTTTTTAGGCAAATTCATTATGAATTCTTGATGAATTAACTGGTAGCTTATATTCTCAAAATATAGCTTTGCTAGGAGTAGGAGGTAGCAGTCAATGCCTCCAAGCATATCCGGGTGTTCTGCCATCTGACCCACGTGAAATCAGAACGTCCAACCTTCCTTTGGAGCTACCACAGAGCACTGCTTGCTGCTGGGGGCCACTCAACCTGGTTGGCTCCCCACTGTTTCTTGCCCAGACCAGGAGTCAGGAGCCTGATTAATGCTGAATTAGTCTGTCTTGGCTTGTATTTGCAATTAAGCTGTGCTCACCTCCTCCAACCATCAGCAAAACAGAGTTTTTCCTTAGTGCAGATGAAGATCAAGGAAAGGAAGGAGGCAGCTGCCTATGATCTTCACTGACCTGGTACCCTGAAACAGAGAACATCCAACATCAAATGGACGGACCATGAGCTGCTCAAATGCCAGAAACATTCACCCTCACTGATGGCCTCTGACAAACCCTTTGATCCTGCAGAGCTGATGCCACCACTTCTGATAGCTGTGTCACTACAGCTTGCTTTATTGCAAGTCAACTGCTCTCAGAAAATTTCCTGTAGACTGACTTTCTTCTTTAAAGAAAGTTTTAGAAGATCCTTCCTAATTGCCTTATTCCTTTTTATTCATATACAAGCCAATCAACACTAGGAAAATTTAAATTAGCTGGAAAAGAAAAAAAAAAAGTTAGAATATGAGCTAATGACAAAAATCATGAAACAGCATCTATGCTCTGGCATTTTAGAAAGCTATCCTGGAAATTTTGCTCTTCTTGAGAAATAACAACCTGCTGAGGATTTTAAGTTTTGCTCCGAGAAGGAGAGAGTTATAAGAATCTTGCTGGTTGAGGGAAGAATCTTATCCCTTCTGCTCCAGTGTCCCTGGCCTTCTTCTCCCCAAAGCACCTGCAAAAAATCACTGCCCCACTCCCCAAAGAAACCCCCCAACTTATTTTCCCAGCTCTTTTCCACGTTAGCAGCGGCCCCTTCAACACCAGTGGAAGTCACTTCATAAAACCCTATGGGCAGCAGCTGCAGTTGGAGCCACCCCCGCTGCCCCACCACGCTTCACCCTGCAGCGAGTCACGCGGCCCTGGTCCCATCCAGTAGGTCTTCTGCCCATCTCTTCCAGGAGGCAGCGCCCAACCAAAACAAAAGTTCCTGGATGAACAAGGAAGGAAGAAACGTGGAGAAATGGGAAAACCAGCGCCACAAAGCACGTACTGTTAGATACCTACCCTGACTGCTTTGCGTATGTAATTTGAGACACAGGTTTCCTCTTAGCTGTGACCATGTTTTATTAAAGTAAATACCCTGCAGTTTTTATATAGAAGCATTTTTTTTTTTAATGTTTAAGCTTGATTTTGTACATGTATGGAAATTAGTCTTGCTTAAAAGGAAAAAAAAATGTGACATAGGAAAATATTGTCCAGCTTCCATACAAAATAGCACTTTTTCTCTGCTGGTAGAAGACATGAAAATTTTCACTGTATTAAGTGGTCTGTGTAAGTTTTACAAAAGTCGTATACAAAAAAACCCTTAAAGTATGCAAAGATTGCAAAGTACACTCTGACAGCTAATGCTCTGCGAACACTTTATTACACGAATTACATTCGGCTTCTGAAAACAGCGTTCTAACAGTGATACCATCTAAAAATAAGACATCCTGGAAACACATCAAGTCAGGAAGAAGAAAAAAAAATAGATACTTTTTTTCTTTCCTTCATTACAATATAATGTTAGTGATTTAAAAGAAAAATAGAAGAAGATTTAGCAGCTTCATTATCTTGTGGCACTGTATTTTCTCTGTACTGCAACAGGTTAAAGAGATTGAAGAGGAAAGGCACAAAAAAGAAATTGGCAGCTGAAGAGTTATGGGAAAAATATTTGGATAAAGCAGATAATGAGAGTTATTTACAAATACAGAAGAGGTCCCAAAATTGAGATAAGAAAATACTATTGCTTTAAATCAGTGCTGCAATTAAAAGAAGATACTTTGCTTTATTAAGATGTTCACATAAAAACAACGGCACTGATATGAAACTTCCAGACATTCCTCCACTTAAAAAAAAAAAAACTACAACCAACCAAAAAAAAAAAAAAAGGAACCCCAAGGAACCAGTGTACGGCCCCACACAGACTAGTACAGTTTACAATTAAATACACAAAATCTCAAACGTGCTTAAGGGAAAAGGAATCTGACATTCTGGATTGAATCATATAATGGAGAACTCAAAGGCTGGTTTCAGGATGACGATGGTGCTGCTGGAGGTGGAGGTGCTGAATACTCTTCCTCTGAGTCTGTGCCATCATCTTCATCTTTCTCCTGGTCGCTTCCTTCAGTGCTGAGCTGGTCAAACCCTTTTCTGCTGTAGCCTTTGTGACTTGCAAAGAAATTACCAAGGTTAAGGCCACCGCCACCTTTTCCTGTGGAATGCAAACATGTGCCATAAGCTTCGCTTTATTGTACAAGGTGCAAAAAAAATGTATTAACACAAGAATGGAGATTATTCTAAGTGTCCTGAAAACCACTGAAGTTAAAGTTTCAAAGGTTTTTTTATTTTTTTTTCAACATCCACGGTTGGATTAAAAGCCTTTGCTCAGGCTGCCTGTGTTCCCACCAGTTTGCCTGTCTTCATTTTGCCCCTAAGGCCCAAATTCATCGTTTCATTCCCCAGACACTCAGATAACTCAATGCCTCAGCTATTGGTCTCCTGCTAGCAGGGCCACATCCTCTTCGGGGGCAGATGTTGACGGATGAAAGGTGGTGTCAAAGACACTTCCTCGTAAAGCATCTGAGTTTTTCCCCCTCTCTCCTCGCTGGGAAAAAGTTTTATTCCCAGATCTCAAATCTCTCATTCAACTAGAAGCAAATACAGAAACAAACTCCAGTTGCTGGGTTGTTAAAGGCCCTAGAGTGTCACTTACCTCGAAGTCTGCCTAAAATTCTGCCTGAACTTGAATCAATTTTGTGTTCCGCATTGGCTGAAAAATAAAGGAGAATTCAGAAACAAGTTTTAAATCATAATATACGTTTAAATCATTAACTGTGTTTGTTTACTGATAAAAAGCATAGACACTCAATAAATTGATCAGCAGTTCTAAGAAACAAAATTAACACTTTTCAGTTTCCCTGCTACGGTGTAATTATTATTCCAAAAAAAAAAAAAAAAAAAAACCAGAAGTCATACTATGAATGTTCGGTTTATGCTGCCTCAGCCATTAAGAAGATTCACAGATGTGTAATTTTGAGAATGTCACTTTTTCAACAGTTCACATTTGTTACTCTGCAGATTTTATGGGGAGAACGAGAACCGATGAAAAAAAGGACCCCTAAACAAAACCAAACCAAAAAACTCTCACATCCTGGTAATTCTTTTAAGAAAATAAACTGCACCACCAAGTTGTTTTTTTGTTTGTTTGGTTTTTTTTAAATATATTACTCAGTATCTGTAGGTCTGTGCAAGTTTACTTTTCCCAGTGTAACTATATTATGCTCCTTCACACAGGAGGTTCTGGCACTGAACCTTCAGGGGCCTTCAGGTTCAGACGTGGATTCAACTGGAATGCAAGATGTTATTTTGGGCCATAGCTATGAATTACACTTCTGCAATAGTTTAGAGCATTAGCACTTTTGATGCTAAATGTATTTATTTGAACACGATGTAGCAGGAAGCTACACACCAAAATATTCAAATAAAATGCATCAAGCTCAATTACTTAATAATATTGCAATGTTGAATTACCTCCTCTTTTATATTATGTCCCAGCCTATGATATTGGCAGAACTAAGTTATCAGTGCATTCCATATCCACTTTCTTCCCTTCTTGAGGATAACTTGATAAAAAGTGATTTACGTCACACAAAATAACAAGTGCAATGATCAAAGTGCTACTACAGCCTATCAGTTTCTCCAAAAGGCTATTGCATGATATGAATTAAGGACAACTTTAAATACTTAGAATTGTTACTCTTAACTAAAGCTGTCACAGCAATGGATGGAGGCACCTAATAGAAACATGTTTGACTAACAAAATCCTCAAGATGGTAGTGAACAGTAATTACCTCAGACACGTTTACAGTTTGCCTTTTGCTTACATAGTGTAATACCCATACAGTAGGGTCTTTGTCCTTCATGGTTTAAAGATCCCAAGGGGAAGAAGTGTTGACCTGGGATGATTTTTATCATGCTCTAGATAACTATTCTCTCGAGTTACTCGGGGTTACCTCCATAGATTGTTGCCTTCCTCCACCGAATGAAGGCGAGAATGGCCAGCAGGATGACGACAGGGATAATTAGCAGAGTTGTAATGAGAGCTAAAGAAACCCTAGCGCCGGCCTGGTGCACCAAATGCTGTTTTTCCTCCTTCTTGAGAGGCTCTGTTGATTGTGGGTTGTTTTTCAGTTTGGTTTCTATAATTGTTTCTGATTAAAATAATAATAATTTTAAAAAATAAATCAATAAGCAATCATATGTATCAAGCAACATAAAGCAAGGCCTTAAAGAATATGCCAGGATACCTGAAGTCTCGAATAATAAGGAAACAAAACACAAACATTTACGAGACAATTTTAATTCTTCCTGATGATATCCCCAAAGACAGAGTCTGAATCACGTTACTTTCTAGAAAGGATGCCCTCTCCTTTCCTCTAATGAGGAGCTATCATTTTAAATATGGGCAAATCCTTTAAAAAAAAAAACTCATTCTTGCAAATAGGCATATGATTTATTATCTATTAAATATCTCCTTTTGATAATAATACTGCCATAAGAAATTAAACAAAAAAATCCAGCATGTTTCAGTATTACAAAATAGAAAGCATTTATTGTTCTTTCAAATAAATTTGTGACAAAGGGCTAAACTTTCAGAACTGCTACATCCCATGAAAGACCTTTGGCTCTTGAAGTCCCGAGAGTTTTCACAAACTGCATCCAGCGATTCCTGCCTGTTTTAACTTCGGTACCCTAGGCAGTTTCAGAGATGGATAAGAAACGATTTGCAAATACCCATGTGGTACCACTGCATTATTCTATATAACAGCAGAAGTGGCAGGTAGCACAGTGGCTTCCTAAGGAAAGCTCAAATGCATTCACCTATGCCCAGATTCATTATACCATTGATGCTGTAACACTTCTCTTCCGAGTGCTTTGGGAAGACTGATGCACCAATAGAGATGAAATAGATGGCTAATAGTTTGGGCAATGAGAATTTCACTGTTTATACTGTCAACCTATTCTACTCTGTGCTTGCATTTGTCAGTTTGGATCTTTTCATACATCTCTCTGTGTCCAAAGGTCTAATTCAACCCACAGAAGCTCTGAATTCAATCAAAGGAAAACAGTTAAGAACAATTTAACATTTTACGAAGGCCTCTCCATATTCAAGTACCACTGCTCTGAAAGGGAAATGAACATTTCCTTCTTCCACCCAAGAGACTTATGAGACAGAAGATTAATGGTTTAAAATAATTACTTTTCATCTCCCTGACTTATTATCTTACCCCTTTCAAACTCATCTATACACGCTTATCTCCTTTGATTAAGTCCCAACACGTTTTTTGTTCTTTTTTCATTTTTCATGCAGATAAATTGAAAAAAAAAAAAAGTAAATCTCAGGAAATATACAGAATGCTATTCTGAATATACAGAGTGCTATTTTTTGTTAAACAATGTACCTGGTAAGCCTGAAAGACCATGTAGAGAGATGAACCAATTGCTGTTTTGAGTAAACTTGCGAGGAGGGAAGGAGGGAAGCAGCCCTGAGGAGTAACTATCATGGTCACATTTCAGAGTTATTTCTGCATCTAAGGGAGCTGACACAGATACCAATCTGGACACACCAGATGGTGATATAGAAACGATGTACTGGCCAAACTTGCGGTTTGGGGTCTGGGAAGCGCTTGTCACTGATGAAAATGAAATGTTTGGATTGGCTGTAAAATAAGCATCTACTATCAGGTAACACTGTGAAAAGATGCCTTCTCTTGCCTCCTACGCTCTTTTTATCTCTAGTCACTGTATAAAATGATGGTGACAAACCGAACAAGCTAGTGTATTGGAGATGAAAATTTCTGTGATCTGTAGAGTCATAACAATCTCCCATGGGAAGCAGAGGCCAGACCTTGAGAAAAAAGGATGTTTGCCTGCCTAGGCTGAGCGATAAGGCAGCTGCTCAGCCCGGTACACAGGCAGCCCCCTCGGAAACCTGTTGAAGGTGTCCGCTTGGCTGGGCTTGTAGCCAGCTTAAACGCAGACGTCCTCCAAACTAGCTTTAGAGACCAAACACCCAGAAATGAGGAAGAAGAGGAGGAAGGCAGGACCCTCGAATTGAGGGCTGGGACCCCTGACTAGTATGCGTGTCTGTGCACCTGGGCGGGG